TATTTTTAAAACTAAATTTTAGTATTATCTAAAGAAAAACATATTAAATAAACTAAGAATATTACTCAGAAGTGTTGAAATGTTGATTGAGGGGGTAAAAAGATGGGTAAAGTCTTTGACAAAAGTTTACTAAAATATTATATATAATTTAATAAGAATTTAAATTTATTTAAACCTACCTTTGTCTCAGTAATTACCCATAATAGTAGAATCGCAAAATTTAGATCTTTAAAGAAAAGCATTTTTTTTTAAAAAATTCTTTCTAATGATTCTAAAAATATAATTTGATATATTTTCTTTAAAAATAGATATTCAAGCTGATCATTTTTTATGTTTAGGGCCCCTTCACTATATAATATTTTAAAATAATTATTGATGAAGTAAAAATAGATTTAGTAATATAATATAATATAATATAATATAATATAATATAATATAATATAATATAATATAATATAATATAATATAATATAATATAATATAATATTATATAATATAATATAATATAATATAATATAATATAATATAATATAATATAATATAATATAATATAATATAATATAATATAATATAATATAATATAATATAATATAATATAATATAATATAATATAATATAATATAATATAATATAATATAATATAATATAATATAATATAATATAATATAATATAATATAATATAATATAATATAATATAATATAATATAATATAATATAATATAATATAATATAATATAATATAATATAATATAATATAATATAATATAATATAATATAATATAATATAATATAATATAATATAATATAATATAATATAATATAATATAATATAATATAATATAATATAATATAATATAATATAATATAATATAATATAATATAATATAATATAATATAATATAATATAATATAATATAATATAATATAATATAATATAATATAATATAATATAATATAATATAATATAATATAATATAATATAATATAATATAATATAATATAATATAATATAATATAATATAATATAATATAATATAATATAATATAATATAATATAATATAATATAATATAATATAATATAAATATAATATAATATAATATAATATAATATAATATAGCATTAGAATTTTTAAAAAAATATAACTTCTTTGATTATTATTCAATTATAAATTATATTTCTAAAATTACTCATGAACTCCCATATTATTGTAAACAAACTATATTGGTGAACTCTTGAACTAATCTACTTTTTCTGGATAGTACACTAAATAGTCTTATCTCAAAAAAAATAAATATTATCTTGGTTTAAAATAAAAAGGTTCTACACATTGAACAATTGTTGATTTTGTCTTTAGATTTTTACAGGGTTAAACTTTCTCCAGTTTTAAAATTCGTTTCAAAGATAAAAAAAATGAGTCTTTATGTGCCATCTTGTTGATCTCCATAAAATAATATAAGGGATAAAGTTAAAGTTAGCTTTACTCGCTATAACTTCTTTAGTCAGATTAATGATTCTTTTTCGATAGTATAAATAAACGAAAATAGGACACCAACGTTTTTTTAAAAAAGGGTTATAACTAAGTGACTAAAAATTGTAAGAGATATAATATCTAAAATATCGTTTTCAGTTATGAACCTATTTAACGACGGTGAAATTATCTTATTTAGGAAATATACGCGAAGAACAAGCAAACATAATTTTGTAATGATAAATTATTATATTATAAATAAATTGCATGTATAATCTCAAACGTCTCTTTTTTTAAGTCAGACTTTAACCCCCATTTGTAGTTATTTCTTCCCCCCTCCCCGTACCATAGTAATAATTTTTGTTAATTTTAAGCATGCACATTAGAGCTTTCAAAAATGAAAATTAGGTCACAAATTTTTATTTTAGATTTAGGTCAAGTCCATACCCTTTGCCGTCATCGACTCATTGCAAAATATCAAACAGCATAGATAGAAAAATCTCAAAGTCATCAAATTTATTTAATTAATCTCTTAATGTTTTACATTATATATTTAAATATTCTAAGTTATTACAAAATATAATTTTCTAATTTTCCTTTATTGATTTAGTTTCATTCATATTATACCTTGAATCTTATTTTATGGTTATATTATAAAAAGAGCGAATCTTACATATCATAAATTTTATATTTAATTTTTCTTTATCACAATTTTACAATTTTAAAATTCTTGTATATATATAATATATATATACAACTTTTATATAGTTTTTCCTATATTTAAATCTTTATATTATTAATATAATATATATTATGCAGTTTAATTGTTTGAAATATATTTAAATTTAATCATTTTAAAACATATTTATTATAAAAACCTTTTTTTAAAAATATTTAAATAATTTTCATATCCTCATTTTTTTTAAAATAAATTTATTTTATATTCCTTATAGCTAGTGATGCTAAATTATCTAACTTTAACCATCTCAATTGTGGCTAAATCAGGCTTTTAACCTAAAAAATTGAAGTAAACCTCAAGTTGAGTCTCAACTTGAAGATTGATTGAAAAAACAAGACTACGCTAAAAGCGAATAAGAAGCAATCATAATATAAAATATATTTTGGGATGGACCGAACTATATTTCATTAGCGATATTACCGCCGCTCCACCCTATTTAATTCTAATACATATATCAATAAGGTTTCCAATGTTAATAAGTTGATCCGTGAATTCTTATGAGATCACTTTTTTCAAATGTTGCAATCTTTCATAAATATAATATAATAAAAATTTTTAAAATACATTAAATAAAAATTGAAAATTAAAAATTAAAAATGCAAAAACTATTGTATATATATAAAATAAAATAATTCCTTGGTGAAGGAGCCTCGAGTGAGGGCTGATGTAATTCGATTCGATTTGTCTATGGCAATTGATAGCCTTTTGCTTAGAATCCTTTTTCATCTTGATTTAAATATATTTCAACAATTTAAGATTTTTTTTAGTTCAACATAGCTTGCTACAGAATAGATATATAAATATATAGCGGTAAGAGTGAGTTATGTATGAAAAGGTTATTTGTTTTATTTTAAGTTATAAAAAAAAATGTGTCAGTGAGAGTAAAAGAGAAGTGAGGGTTTAGGTTTATTAGTTATTATAAACTAAAATATATTAAATTACAAATAAAGCAGAAGATAAAGTTACAAGTAGTAAGCAGACGATAAAATTTATAATGGGAACAAAAACGAATATTAAAAAATTTTTTTTTTTAGCAAATCTTAAATTTTTTATTGATATATTATTATCTAATGAGCTGGAACGATCTTGTATGGCCAGTAGGTTGATGTGGATATCATAAATATTATGAATGAAAGATATTTAATAAGTTACTTTAAAAGTAACGTTAATTTGAATGTTATTAATTTTTTAAAAGATATTTTATAAATGGGACCTAGATACAAAATCGTTTAAAAATTGATCTACATATAGATTCATCAACTAAGAAACTACCCATGTATTTGTATACAGTCATAATTTTTATTATACTTATATACAGGGCTCCCATTGCTTTCGAACAGAAACTCTTATTATGAGAGTAAAAAATACGTAACAAAATTTAAATATTTTATTCTCTTTCAATTCGAACACCATATAAAAAAATATAATTGAAAAATTATTAATATTCTTATAGATTTTTTGAACAAATTCTAAGATAAAACGAACATTTATTATACAAAAGATTTTTAGATTTAACCTATAATTTATTCATTGGGGTATGTATAGTTTTTGAGGGGGGGGGGTGCATCCAGTGAAAATCCAGTCATGTAGACACTGCAATCAGCATATCAAAGGTACATAATAAATATATCCCTGTATTAAATCATTCATCAATATAATTCATCATAAAAATATTAATATCACTAGATAGTAAATTACGTCATAAATATCTAAATAAAAAAATGTATAATATATCTAAATATATCTTTTTTTTAAATCGATGAACTAAATAATAAAAAATAATCAATTATAAAATTACACAAAAAAAATAAAATGAAATGTAAATTGTAACGATTAAATAAAACGATAAGATAAACGATTTTTTAAAGTTAAGAAACAAAATCATAATTTGTTATTGCTGTTAGGTATTAAATAAATATCTTTGAAATAAAACGAACTTAAAATCAAAATATCTTACGATAATTTAAATTAGATGGAATATATATTCCAAATCATAAATTATATGTTTACTCTTCTCATCTACATGACATATTATTCACCGAAACCTTTTTTAGAAATTTATTCCTGCCTTTCCAAATAAATTTTGTTCCCTTCGGTGGGGATATTTCCACATTACTAATAATACTTTTTAATTATAATGATACTCCTTACACCAAAAGCAACAAAATATTTTTAAGTCCTGCTTAAAATCTTCAATCTTACACTGTCTAGACCCCTAATATTTCAATTCAGAATTTACCAATGCTAAATATCACATATAATTGGACATGTGTGATGCCACCTTACGTCTTGCTGCCAACAATTTTCACAATACTAGAAAAGACACATGTTCAAATAAGTGGCTCTGTCTCTACCCAGATTTTTTCATGACAAGCGGCATGACCTGTAGAATTTTTAAAATATTTAATTTACTTGTATGTTAAATAGAAACCTGAGTTAAGGAATCGCGAGCTATATCGTCCCTGGTTATATTCCAACAGGATATTCTATAGGCCTATATAATGAGCGTAAAATCAAATAGATTTAAAAACATCACTAATCTTTACAATTTCAGAGGCCTCAAAAATGTTATTTTTAAAATTATTTTCAACATTGCCTTATTTTTTTGACTAACATTACAAAATTTCATTTGGTATAAAAAAAATTCATTTGGAAGACTCCAGCCCCTACCCCGCCCCCCTTTTTAATGCCGCTACGATATATATTTTTAATAAGCACGTCATTTCAAGCTATTTTCACAAGGTATAATCAGCTGTTGAAACACACCTTTTTAACTTTTTTATGCTTAACTAAAACCAAAAATTTTAAATATTTTTTAATTTTTTTAAACTCAAATATTAGGCATTGCATGGATATACTACTTCTATTTTCTTCAATTTTGCCTATGATACACATGAAGCCACCCCCTAAAATTGGTATCTTTATTTTATTGAAGAAAATAGTTGTTTTAAGCAAATAATTTTGAATAATAAATCTCTACTAAAATAATATTTCCTGATTTTGAATGTATCATAATTATTTTTCATTCTATGCATTATTAATATTTAAATACCTCATGATTATCTGATCCTAATCACTTAAATATCCACTTTTCTTTTTATTAAAATATAGCATAGAAACTAAAAGTTATTTAAGTACCCCACAATTATCTTTGTCTTTAAAGTGTAATTCATAATAGTTTTTAGCCTATTTTCTCTCTTCTTATATGTTTAATAATCAAAAGATTTAACTAATTTTTTTCAAACCTAAATATTTTTTTTATACAACTTATGAATTGAACATATAATCAAACATACTTCTATTTAGCTTTATACATTAACAATAGTAAACTAGTTGGAGGGTTTAATAATCCTTGTCAGTGGTTCTTGGCTGATTCTGAAATTAGGACTGGTTCAATCCAGTTTTTTGCATTATTTTATGAATAATATTTTACTTAAATTTTAGTTTAAAAAGACAACTATCGATTCATTAATTTCCTTCCTTTCTTTCAATCAAAATCAGCAAAATTTGTAATAACCCTGGTTAACCACATATTGCAACATTTCTGGCACAATATTAATTTGTTACATGGGAACCTACCCAAAATTTATAAAAAATTCAAAAATATTTTTATTACCTTTTTATAATAGTTTTATAAATATATTTTCAAAAACAATTTTAAATATATTTTATTTTGCATAATAAAATTTTTTTAAAAATATTTTCTATTATTATAATATTACCTTAAGTTTTTTTTTATTGTAATACTAAAACATTATTGGAAACACTTCAAAATATTTAGGAAAAACAAAACAAAATATGCCCTTAAAATTAGGGCCATATATTGGACAAGGGAATGGTTTGGAAGGATTGATGAATTATAGCCAATTTTATTGAGAACCTCACTAATGAATTGCTTACTCACCTATGTCCAGCCTTTAGAATTAAAATTCTATTTTAGTTTTTCGAATTTTGGGCCACAATTGCAACTACAAGTATGCAACAAGTGGGTGAAAAAAATTTAAACATTGGGTGGGTCGATGGGCAAGTTTTTTTTTTAAAAGAATGAATGGGTTGACAAGTGAATTTGAAATTTTCTGGCAAAATGAACAGAACAGCCATATATTTATTTAAATAAAAAAATAATGTTTTTTTATTTCATAATTTTTTTTTTCCTTTTAGCTTTCACCTTTTCTGGTGGTAAGCTCCTTCATCTCTCTCAACTTTATTACTCATACTATCTATTTTTATATTTCTGATCAATTTCGTTTGGATCCCCTACTGGAGTATCGTTATTGAGGCCAATCTTGGTCTCACACTATTAATATTAACAGATATCCCACATATTCCTCAAACCAAAGCATCAATATTGACAAATATCCCACATGAGTACACCGGAATATTCTTATCAATTCTTGTGAGCTTGATCCCACTGGAGTATCAATCCTGATGGATCTCCCACCGGAGTATCGTTATCAAGTTATTGTAGCTTGGTACACATTGTGCTTGATTGTCCCCTGAGGTCACCATTATCCTAACGCTGTCAAGAGATAGTTATCATCCTTGAATGACCCACAAGTTCAGCTGGCCATCTTATTTGGGTTATTGGACAAGTATCCTAACACCCGGCTGTCCAAGCCTGTCGGTGACCTGGGTGGCATTTCTCAGCTCAGAAAATCATCTTATCATATGTCTGTACACATATCCATCATCGAAGAAAAACCCGAAAATTTTAAGCTCCTTACCAGGATTGATGAGACCTTCAGTTTACAAGCAAACATTATACACCATTAGTTAAATTAAAAGGATTAGATTTAAATAAATAGAACCAAACACCAACCAATCGAATAATTTTCGAACATTGGGTGGTTGGGTTTTTTATAACAACAGCTGTACAGGTGTTTGAGTAGCAAAAGACCTTCCCCTTCTAATCTGACTGGAGCGCCATCTTTATTAGTCATTGCCCATTTTTTGTTATACCTGCTTTTAAAAGTTTTAAAATTTTGTCTAAAAAAACCTACTACCCTCGTGGCATTTTTTAATATCAATATATTTTTTTTAAAAAAAAGATCTTTTTGAAATTACAAAAATTTTGCATTAATTTTTTTTCTTTCCTCGAGGTTACTTCCAAAATCTTTTATAAAAAAATAATAATAATAACGATAAAAATAATTACTGATATTTTAAAATTTTTAAAATTTTCTATAGACATATTAAATGTTTTTATATTTATATTTAAATATAAAAGAAACCATCTTTTTTGTTCGATGATGCTAAACGAATTTTATTTATTTGATATGTTGGGTGCAGCCCAATGACATATAATAATGTATACCGAAACTGACGATTCCATTCATAATAATGCATTTTGACAACGTCGTTGAATGCGAAATCAGCTGGACCCACCATTTTTTGGTGACCCATAATAGTAATTATTATTCTCTTGCTAAAGAATTACTATTAAATTGATAACTTGCCTCTTTATTATGCTCGATGATCGGGACAATTCCTTAACAAAATTTTGCGTCAGACATAGGGAATAAATTGGTCTATCATTTAAAATTTTGTAATAATGATATATATAACCAAAATGGCGTCCCCAGCTGTTTTTCAGTGATGTACACATTTATTGAACGCATCCTCATAGGTATCATTATATGTTATTGGTGAAACCCTAAAGAATTTCTGGGTCTATGCTAGATTTTCTTAGAATTTGTCATCTGTAATATAACTCTCAAGCTGTGTCGAGTTCCTGGAACATTTTTATACACCTTCCCCCCTTTAATTTCTTAAATAGAAGGGATGCTATTTGAATTAAATGCGCAACCTAAAGCAACATAGAATAAGGTGTACTAATTTAGAGTCCGCTAGTCTAAACAGAAATAAATTGTCAGAACCACATCACGGCTTTTTGTATCTTTAAAAAAACAGTTTTTTATATATAATTTGTTTTTTTTAAATAGCCATTATAGGAGGTGGTATAGGAGGGTTTTCTGCAGCCTATTTCATAAACGAAATATTGCCCGAAGCCACCATCGATGTTTACGAGAAAGATGGTAGAATAGGTGGTAGAATGCGTTCGGTCGAATTGATCGGCGAAAAATACGAAGCGGGAGCCTCCATTATCCACGACAAGAATTTGTATATGAAAAAATTCCGGGAAAAATTTAGTAAAATATAATATATATATATAAAATGTCAGTCCATCCTTCGATATTCGCATTTAACAAACGCGAAAAAACATCATTCGTCGAATATCGTATGATTAGATATTATTCATATTCGAAATTTTTTCGTAATGGAATTTAACGTACGTTCTTTGCGGAATATTTTATTTTTTTTGACTATATCTACGTCCTATAAAATCACTTCTTTGTAAATTTTAAAAATCCAATCATTTCAATTTTTGGAAATATTTTTTTTAAAGAATTCTAATATCGGATACGAATAATTGTAATATCCGTATTCGTAGTAATTGAATACGGAAGTATTCGAACCTTATCTTTGTAATTGTGAGTCGCGAACCTAGAAATAATTTCTTAAGACATGATTTTTGTACCCGAATATTGTACCTTTAGGACACCTCGTATAATTTATCGTATTGTCTAAGATTGTGTCTCATTTTTATTTATTTGAAAATTAATTTACAAATCTCGGAAACTTTCAATAATTTAACCTACAATTTTCATTAAAATTTTACGAAAGTTTGGAAACTTTTCTAAATTTTTGAACGCGACCTAAAAGAGTAATTATTCAAATTGATAATAGGTTTCGATGTTAATGTATGATTATCAACCCGGTCCGGACCTATTTATTTAACCCCGGTTCATAATTATTATTTCGTGAGTTCTGGGCCAGTCCCATTTTTACTAATCGATAATTGTTTTACGGACCCACAAGGAAACTAGGGAATATAATGCAATAATTTCTCTTTTTTTAAGATCTCAAAAAACGGGAAAAACTTTCTTCTAACGGAGTATTCGTTTATGTAGGCCGAAATAGGATCGAATATCCGACCGGGTATTCCTTCAAAGCCCTCCTCAATTTTCCTTTTCTGAACGATTTCGTCAACGCCGTAAGATTCGTCTTCTCTTGCGGCGTATGGGATTTTTTCAAACTTTATTTTAATACCCGGAGACTCTTGAAAAATTTCGTCAGGTTTTTTTGTTTTGTTTCAAATATAATATTTAAATCCAAAGATCAGCTGACGCGTAAATAGGAAAACTCCGTTAGGCCTAATTTTGACCTAACCCTCGAGAGTTAAAATATTCGAGGTGGTGGGGGAGGGGGGTTAGTATTAAATTAAAATACTTAACGATTTTTTTTTAAAATCTATACGAATGATTAATTTTAATGGAGTGTTTTCATATTTTGAGGCATGGCGAATGTTTGCAAAGTATCGTTGGTGATAGGGTGTTGTTAAACCCTCATTCTGAACCGGTTTTTTAAAAAACGGCTAACCGAATATTTTAGCCGGAATAAATATTGCCATTTAGCCTCGAAATTTCGATAAATATATCTATAGACGATTGTTCCTTCTATGAACAAAATTTTCAGGGCTCGCGTGATGTTTTTTTCTGGGGATGAAATATTGAGTCAGCCGTTTTTCAAAAATCGGCTCAAAACAGCACACTAGTTGGTGAGTTAAAATTTCCCTTCATAAGAGAAGAGAAGAAAGAAAGAAAGAAAGAAAGAAAGAAAGAAAGAAAGAAAGAAAGAAAGAAAGAAAGAAAGAAAGAAAGAAAGAAAGAAAGAAATTATTTTTGTAACAACAAATTTTTTTTTTATCGATTATTAAAAGTTTTAAATAAAAAATATGACCAAGATACTTTCCCCGCAATCCCTCCCGCTTAACTTTTTTTTCCCGCAAATCTGTAAGGGATTTACCTTTTTTTTCTAAAATAAAAAAAAAAGGATATATGAGTATCAGGCAAATGGAACGAGCTTCGAGACGATCGACGAATTGCTAAAGTCTTTGCCGGGACTGCACCAGCTCACTAAGATATCCTTAGAGGATTATCTGAGGCGCGATTTGGGCCTAGGCTCTAGAATATTAACTAACTTAATCCTTCCGGCTATCAGGGTCAATTATGGCCAGGACTTAGATGTGCCAGCTTTAGTCGGTAATTAATGAAATTCCCGTATTTTATATTCGATGATTGGAGAATCCGCTGTTTTAGAAGGCTGTTAGACGCCATTTTATATTCTGAACTTTGTGTACCTATACTTAGTTTAAAATCGAAATCTTTCCAAATTTAATATTGTTTTTTTAATATTTTTTATATACTATACATATCTGTATATTGGAGCGAGAGCTAGTTCCTTTAAATCTTATTAACAATCTTCATTTCATTGACGCGTTCGTTGAACACAATATAAAATTTATATATATATTTATTTAAATTTATGTAAATTTATTTAAATTATGTATTAAATGTTGAAACCGAGATGTTTATTTACATTTATTTTTTAAAAAAAATTCGAAACTTCGAATACCATGGTGGAAACCATGGAAAACCGATATCCTGTTATTGTTAGATACCGAGATGGTAGAAAATTAAATTTTCAATTTTCCATCCTGATATCCGGAAAATAATTTCCCCGAGGGGAAAAAAATCCTTAATAATGATTCTTAGAAAATAATTCTTGGGATTTGATCTGCTTCAAATTTTAGGATTTTTAATTCCATGGATATGTTTATAAGGAGGATTTTTTTTCTTCTTCTTATTTTATTAATTTTTGTAAATTTTTAAATATTTTTTTTAAAAAACGGGAAAATTTTTTTTCGCGGGGAATTATTCTCCTAGATTTTTCCATCATGGAGCCATCGTGTAGATTTTAAAGGGAAGCGAATATGAAGGCCAAATATTTAATATTTATAAAAGCAATAATCATTCTCAAAATTTAGTTGCTCAATATTTTTTTTTGTTAAAAAATAAATACATCTTGCGGTAAAAAAATAATATGGATATAAAAAAAAAGAAGAATGACTTTATTTTTTTATGTTGTGTGTTAACAGTTCAAGGAATTAAATTTATATTTATTTCTTTATTATTAATTGTCATTTTGAAGGCACACCTAAAAAATGGATAATTTTTTTATCAGTCGTATATACTCAATGACATATAATATACCTAGACTGACGATTCGTTCATTAAAATGCATATTTTTTATGCGTCGTTAAAAGCAAATCAGCTGGAGCCGCCATAACTTTTATAATAATTATTCTCATGTTTAAAAACTACTGTATATTTTCCCAATTTTTTGAAACTAAAACAACAAATATATATTATCCTAATTCTTATGATCCAGATTGATATATGAATAAATTAGGCTCTCGTTTTAAAATTTTTGTAATAATTACGGTAATCAAGATGGCGTCTCCAGCTGATTTGCTTTGATGTACACTTTTAATGAATGAATCGTCAGTCAAGGTATATTATATGTCATTGTATATACTACATAGATATATATATATATAATTGGAATTTTGAAATGAAAAATAAAGATAGTTTAATTTAAAATCGCAGCAGGAAATCATTACTATATGGAGTAAGTATAAGGTGAGGTAAAACGATTGGGCAACATATTGATCAATTTTTTTAAGGGAAATGAACCCGAAAATATATTGATAATCGAAAAGTATTACGGATTAGAAGATGATAGAACTGGAGAGAGGACGTAGCAAACGATAACCTTATGAAAGTGAGGAAAATGATACAAGTCGAGAAAACTTAAAAGGAAATATTACAGCGAAAGTCAGAAACTGCATATAGGTCATGATGGATATCCTAACTAAATAGATAGGGGATGAATGTTATACGCATTAACAGTTCAATGAGCTACTTTAATATTTATTATTATTTATTTTTTTTTGTTATAGAAGTACACAAATAAAGAAAAAAAATGGATAATTTTATATGTCATATATATATATATATAATGGAATAAAGATCGTTTTTAAGTTGCTTTTTTAAATACGAAAATGCTATTTCAGAAATTAAAATCAAAAAGGGAACTAAGACTGGACCCATCTTTTTTTTTTTAAATTAAGGCGGGAGCGCGCCTTTTTTTAAAAAAAACTTAGTAGCGGGAGCGCGCTTTTTAAAAAAAAATAAACTCAGCAGCTCGAGCGGAAGGACAACTCTGAAATATGTGTATTATGAAACGGTCAAATGTCATTTAGTCTACGTGCAGGTCATAACCCCACTTTCATAGTTAACCACGAATTCGCGGCGGAGTATGCAAAATATGCTGTACATTTTGTATACTTCACCACTAATTCGTAGCAAAAATTCAACGTAGGGTAAAACGGCGTCTACAGCAGACCTCAATTTTTCTACCTCGGGGATCTCTAATACTTTTATGAATATTCCTCTTCCTAAATTTATCCCCCAACACATGTTTTTTTTTAAAAAAAAGGTATGATATCTTTAGCAGCCAGTTTGGACGGTTCAGCCCTTTGGAGCGTGCAGGGTGGCAACGAGCTCTTTGTCCGATTTATTTACAATTACCTAAGCTTCAATGAAACTATTTTATATGGCGCATCTCCGAATGGGCATGGTTCTAACCTGTACCATCACCCTGACTTTTTAGTCGACCATGATGGCTGCCACCTCCAGGGTCAACCTCGAAACCGGAAATTTAATCTTTACACCGGCACGAACTTAGTCGGAATGGTCTACAACAACGAAACGGCCACTTACGAATTGTCATTCAATCAAACCGGTTGTCGAAATCATTTAGATCGCGACAATTCTTCCAAGTTATACGATACCGTTATTTTAGCTACACCGTTCCCGTTTATTTTTCCGGACGTTTATCCTTCGCCTACCACCATCGAGGCTGGCGGCGATATTAAATGGTGCCTTAATTTGGACGTTTCTAATTCTGATCATACCTTTGAATGCCTCGACGAGGCTAATCCTCATACCGATATCGAAAATAAAGCGTTGAGAAATAATGATACAGTTTATCGCGGCAATAATCTTCTCCGATATCATACCCTGTGGGTTTATCTCGTGGATCGGAAAACAGCCGATCCAAGTGAGGATATATTCGGTCCCGTTAAAGCCAAAAACTGGCTTTTCCCGCTGATTTCGTCACGACCGTACTCCTACGTAGACGGGATTTTTACTAGTCGCGTTAACGGCACCGGAATCGATAAAAGTTATTATTTCAAACTTATTTTAAAAAATAAATAAATAGAGAATTATAAATTTATTTATTGATTTATTTTATTGATTTTTCAGATGAAAACGCGCCTTTATCAAATATTTCTCGCTTGGAGACTCTTTTTAATTCCATAGGCTTGCAGGCGCCGGTAACCTTTGGCCAGAAAAAAACGCCTAAAAATACTAACAGCGATATATCTGACGATGATTCTCACCACACCTACTACGAGAAAAAAATCAATGATACGGGCCCCGAAATAGGGGCTTTACAAGAGTTGGACGGATACTCGAACGGAACCGGATGTGGGCGTTTGGAAAGTTTTCTCCAATGAACCGCTCTCCCCCAATTTTTGACCCAGGTCCTTTTTAAATCTCTACGCGATAATGTAGGAAATTTATCTGGCGTAACGGCGGGTAATTACAGCGTTAACGTTTCCTACCGAGAAATTAGATGGGACGCCTACCCGGAGTACGCTACCCTGTGGAAACATCGTTCGCAAGATGACACCGAAATCGCGCGAGAGTATAGACGGGATATAAAAGAAGCCGTTCATCCTTTTCCCCCTATCGTTTTGCATTTGAATCGGGAAGGCGGGGGCGTGTATCATTTAAATAGCATAGAGTGGGCCGCTTCCGCCATGGAGATGTCCGCGATATCCGCTAAAAATTGTGCTCTATTAGCTCGAAAGAATCTCGAACAAAAAAGCAATGCATAAAACACATATTTTTTTTTAAATATATTGATTATTATATATTCAAAAAATGGCTCAAGATTTACTTTTAAGCCTTCCATAACGCATTTTTTTTTAAAACAAGATATATTGTCCCTTTATTTTAAAATTTAAATGTATAATATATTTTTAAAATTAAAAACTACAATTTTTTTTATATATAGTCAATATATTTATTATATTTTGTAAATGGTGGATATTTTTAATATTTATTATGCATATTATGATTGCAGCTAGTGTTGTTAAAACGGCTGCTAACTCACTATCTTAGCCAGAAAAATATTCCTACCTCGAGGATTCAATAATATATTTCTAAACCTTTGTTCCTTCTAGCAAAATCTTCAGGCTTGCCTAATATTTTTCTGGATGAAATATTGAGCCATTTAATAACACTAATTGTTGCAAAGTATATTATAATAAATACAATAAATCATTATTTTAAAAATTAAAAACTATTTATTTTTTTTATATAGTCAATATATTTATAATATTTTGTAAATGATTGATATTTTTAATATTGTATTTATTATGCATATTATGATTGAAGCAAAGTATTTTATAATAATAAAATAAATCATGGATGAATTTTTTTAAATAAATTATAGAATGAAGTTTTGATTCAGGGTGCAAATAAAAAAAAAACAAGTTCAAAAGCCATTTTTTAATCAAATTTTGAAACTTTAAATAAATATATAAAATTTAATTTGAGTGAGTTATAATAATTGTGATAATGACAAATCTCCTACAATATATTGGCAGATTATATTTAAGTTGCTCGTGATATTGAAAATTTTGGCGATAAATTATTGGTTGATTAAATAAAAAAAACTCTTAGATATAGTTTATCTTGTCCTGTTGAAAGTACCTAGAAAAGAATATATATTGATTAAATATGAATAAGATCATTTTAAATGGATTTTAACTGGAGCCTTCCCTTTCCCAATTACCTGCAAAATCTGGTTGGCTAGACTTTATTTTACTCCATCTTACATTCTTATCAACTTTTGCTGCTTCTAGAGTGATGAATAACTATGGTATCTGACTTAATATCATCAACCGACCATTTCTTAGATTGCACAATAAATATTTAGAAAGAGAATATCATTTGTAAACATTTCATTTGTGAACAATTGTAAATAGCTATAGATTTATAACTAGAATGTGAAGATAGGCTAACCTATATAGAATACACCTTTTGGTCATATTGAAGGGAAGACATAGACTTTACTGTTTATACAATCAACGTTCACATTAACGTCATACCTAAATGAATGCAATAATAAGTCGATAACTAAAAGCGGGCAAACATCCCTAATATTCTAGAATTGACTAATTTAGTCTGGAATATTACGGATTGACTACAATTTCTTGGAAACTAAGTAATACATTAAAGAATTCGAATCCTTTATTAGCAGCAGCCGAGACAGAAAACATTAGAAAAAATTACACGTTTACTCCAACCGTTCCATGTACAAATTAACATTTTCTCCACGAACCTAAAAATTTTAAAAACTTCAAAAGCAAAAAAAATCAATTTTTCTAATAAATGCTATTAATTTCTCTATTTTTGGTTCAAAAATACTGCTAGAAACATTCAAATACAATTGTAGCTCCTTTGTGGGGACTTAACTAAAAATATTGAAATTAGATTATTATAAATGTTAAAATTAAGTAAATTTGGAAGTAAAATTATTTTTTATATACCAATTAGAATTTTTTTTTATTCAACTCAAATACCAACGAGACAAATTAATTTTAATATAAAAAAAAAATTATTACCACATCAACTTATTTTAAAAAAAATTGCCCAAAAACTATTTTTTCATATCTAAAGATAAATAAATCACATATAGATGGCGCTAGATTTATTCAATAAATTTTTATCCTATTTGTACATTTATTTAAAGATGTTTGTAAAAATGTAAATAGTTACAAGGCATTAAAGAATATTTATTATAAAATAACTTTATTAAAGAATAAAATTTCCCCTTATTTACTAGCCAATTACAAATATTATGTAAAAACCCACTATATCTATACCATAATTTTTGGTATATAAATAAAATATCTAAAAATTCTCTAAACTTCGATAATGAAACTTCTGTAGTGTTTAGATATACTGGAAAATGATTAATGAGTCAATTGAATTTTCATTTGAAAATATTTTACTCGATATTTATGATTCCAGATTTTTAATTATAAGTAAAAAATAAGTATTGCAAAATTTATCCTTCATTCCATCCGTGCCAAAATCAAATGACATATAAAAAAAATAATAACTTAGACATGAAAACAGCTGAGGACGCCACATGCTTGGAATGACCTATCTTATGAATCGTAGACAATTTTGCTGCTAACCTTTGAGTCATATGTTATTTTTACAACTTTAAAAAACTAAGTAAACAGCAAACGACTCAAATTATGGGTCGATATTGATATTTTTAAATTCTCGACTTCCGGTGGAAAATTTGAGGTGATAGAACGGTAAATATTATTTTATTTTAATCATATTTATTTACAGATTCTATGAACATTATATCTCAATATTGATAGTAATTATAACTTACACTAAAAAAATTAAGCTTAAAATCAGCCATCACCCACCTTTAAAGTAATTAAATTATACTGTAGTTCTCGGGTATAGGCTTTTTCTTTGTCCCACTCCTTTTAAATTAAAGCCTATAGAGGTTTAAGCAACATTTTTCGAAATGTTGTGCCTACAAGTACGTGCGGCTTGCCCACAAACGTGTGGAGGGCTCCTCATATTTTTATTTTTATACCCAAATTAAATTGTTCCAATTAGATGGAAATGAGGAAAACCTAGCGTAGCTCTGTTGAATCTTCAACGCTAGAGGGCAAAAGCGCTATATATCACGTATTTTTTGAAGCGTGTTTTTTTAAAAATCTGATTTACCGGAAATGTATGCCGTCATGTTTGGAATACCTAAACCCTATGAATTCCAGACAATTTTTTTTTTACATGAACCTTTCACATATTATTTATGTATATTATAAATTTAACTCAAAAGGTTAACATCAAAATTGTCTACAATTCATGAGATAGGTTATTCCAATCATGATTAGAATATATTTCCGATATAATACGATTTTTAAATTTTATAAAAACGCGCTCAAAAATTGATTTAAAAGTATCAAAAATAACACATTGCCGGAAATAAAACATATTCACACAAATTTTATTATTATAATTAATAATTCATATTAAAAAAAATAAATAAGGATTTTTAGTTTTTATGTTTATATATATAAAAAAAATAGAAAATTGCATCGTCATTTTGTCGAGGCGATGGCACATAAATTTTTGTATAAAAAAAATGCTAAAATTTATTTGGTTTTTTTATTGTTTGCAAATAAAAATAATTATAAAGGTTAAATGGATATAAATATTATAAATAATTTTTTAAAAAATATATAATTATAAATAAATATTCTAAAATTAAAATTCTAGTCACAATCTCTCCTTCAATCTTTTTTTTTTTTGTAAATATTGAAAATAATTTATAAACATAAAAATTTATCTTTGTCTTATGATTCGAGATTACTAATGGATAACACATAATAAATGTGGATAACTTCATCACACTTTGTTAAACGATAATAGTGTTTAGGTGTATTTTCAAGTTGCTGAAGCTTCTTTTTGCAATAAGATTTATTGTAGAAGTGACCATTATAGTATTTTTTTGTATGTGTCGCTGCAATAATCTCAAAAACATTTGTCTTTAAAACAATACATATAAATATAACTGTTTTATGGACCACCACCTCTATAGTAGTTTTAAATGCTATGACATTACCAACAGTAAAAGTGCTCTACTTTAACGAAGATTCCCACTGACCTGATCTCACTATTAAAGTTATAGGATCCAAGTTTCCACAAATTGCTCAAAATAATTTTAAAAATATCTCTTGAAATAAAGATTTTTTGATTTTCAGTCTAATTTTTACCCAAAATTCCAAATTTTTTGCAAAATTTTTTTACAAGTAAATCTTTTGTGATTTTATGACATAAAAAGAAAAATCTTCAATTTAGTTAATCTCCCAAAATATTATCACAAAAATAGTTGGGCGTGATTTTGAATATTTATAGTATTTTTCTAGGTAGTTGAAAATATTAATTTTATCATAATCCGTTGGAACTGAAATATACCAATTGCTTATGTATATGCTTTCTTGGATCGTTTTGCCCGATCCTTCTCTACAAGCTCCATTATGAGAGCAGAAAAAACTCAAAAACAAAAAAAATGTCACCTAAAACAACCCTATTATTTATTCTAGGTGGTTTTCGGACATCTATAGTTTATTTGGAAAAGTCTTAAATTTATTCAAAGTAATAGGACAAAAATTTGCTTGTAATCACAGGTGATCCAAAATAGAGTTTTTGCTTATAGCAAAGAATACTATCGAAATTTGTGGATCAACTTGTTATTTCTATATAATACATTTAATAGTTATGGTTGTGTCCTGCAGATATATTTTATTTCTAATATATTTAAGTTAAAAAATAAATTAGACTTTTTTTTTAGATACTTAATGCTGTTTAGCCTAGGCTAAGCAGTTTTTGAAACTTAGAGGTGGCTTTATTTTTCGTATTTTTTTTTCCTGCGTTTTTTAGGCTGTTTAGTCGAAACTAAATTACCACGGATTAATAGTTGGCCATTTTTTAGTACTAAACCGAACTAGGAAGAGGTTCTTACTTGGCTTAACTTAAAAAAATTTTCGATTTTTAATAGTTTTATTTTATTTTAAATATAATTTATATTTTTTTATATTTACGTTCTGTATAGATCATATATATATATTTTAGTAGAAATGCAATAAAATTAAAGATTTAATTATTGTTATCAAAAATATAACCCCATCTAAAATAAATATAAAAAAATGCATTTTAAACCCCCCTGACTAGTAGGTTAATGATGCTTACTACCTTAAGGTATTACCTATCGAATTTGTATTTTGTTTATTTTTCATTTGGATAGGCACTACCAAATATATTTATAATATATATTCGAAAAATCGTGATTTTTTGGAAAGCGTCTGTGGCCTAGTCGGCAAGAGCGTTGCTTACC